TAAATTGCACTTGAAAGAATTGTTTTAAACAAGATGGCTTAGGAAAAAAATATGTAGCTATGGGTTACGCAACTTTCCTGCAATTTTATATTCATAACAAAATCGAGAAGACGTTTAGACCGGTAAAGCTCGCAAAATTTCTGTGTCATAAAGTAATTGACTACGCGTGCGTTAAAGAAATGAATAGATGTGAACCTAGTTTGTGAAAGTGAAGAATTCATTTGATGGTTTCCTATACCGCTTTTACACATGCACAACAGCTGGCATTGTGAAACTTTGTCAAATTATCATACAACCACTGTTAATTTTGGTGTTAGTAGGAACTTCCTGTGTGTCATGATATTCGTGTTGGGTGATGTTTGATAATCAAGCAGCCTTGCTACAAGCTAAGTTAGCCAATTCACCTTCGCCACACCTTTCATATCCATATTTCTATCCATATTTCCTTCTCCCCCTTGATTTTAGCTGAAATACGTATACAACAGCAGTGGCAATATGATGCTTTGTTAAATTACCATAACGATGTTTATTTTGGTTCGCTGGCAGGAACTTCCTGTGAATCATGTTCCTTCTCCATGATTTACTGTTCCTGTTTGGGAATAAAGGCTTAATATTGAAGGGCAATGAATCAGCAGAAATTCATTATCACACGTTCAAATTAGTTTTGATATCTACATACTCTCAAATTTTTCAGTTCTTTCCTTCTTTAATTGCAGACAGAATCGAAAAATGATTAATGTCATTATCATTGTTGTTATCATTATCATAATTTTTTATCTCAGGAGTGAAAAGTACTCCTTCGTAAACCCTTACCTGTTTATTTTTGTCCATTTAATTATCAAAACAAGCACCTCTTTCGGACTCTACAAGGAAACGTTCAAATTATCGATAAGAAGCTCTAACCTTTGACGAAGTAGGCCATTAAATTCCGATTTTGAAACGAGTAGGAAGATAAAAAAGAAATAAAAAGTAGGTTTTCAATTATCATAGAGTGTCATAGGAAACCAAAATGTGTTACCTTTTATGGGAAGTAATTTCAGCATTGTGGTGGCGCAAACGTAGTCACCTCAAAAGTATTAGAGGGACATTTTTCTGCGAATGAAATCTTTGATTAGAATCGGTTTATTTATTTATTTATTTATTTTGTATAAGTGGAAGTCTAAAGCATACCTTCAATGACTTTACATTACTTCGTTTTTTCCTCGAAAATGTTGTAAAAACAATGTGCTCATGTTTCTCAATTTGTTTTGATCACTTTTATTATTAAATAGGTTATTTATATGGCTTTCGAGTTAGAGGCAGATAGAGCAAGAAACATCTCTTTGAAGCTGAATTGTTGCTGTGTTAGCCTTAATTGTTAGAAAAACAAACAAAATTTGATTATAAATCATTGGGCATTTTTGATCATCTATTTCAAGGATACAAAACAGAAAAGTGTAGAAGCTATAATTCACCGAAAAGAATAGGATTTTCCAAATAAAGAACCATTTGAACCATAACAAAGTTTTAATCCAGACTCATTTGACCCCAGCCTCTCAAAACCAACGATCCACGGTAAAAGGGGAGAATAGATGTAGATAGTTCCTTGAAATTATGGTGCAAATCCTAGTTGCCATTTTGAACTTAGTCACTAACTATATTGCGTGTTATGAGCAAAATTAAGAAATACATAAACATTTTGCCAAATAATTTCATTTGATAAAAAATGAGTATTTCTTGCTCTTCAGAGAAATCTTTTTAACCTGCAACGAGCATTCTGAAACTCGCAAAAATACTGCGAATCAAAGTTTTGTTTCACATTTTTTCCCCATAAATTCATTTATTGATGGAATGGTCAATGTTTTCCGTTGTTAATGCAATGATGTAAAGCAATAATTAATAACACTATGGGGTAAGAGAAAGGGGCTCTCACATGGATTTCGGAGGTAATGTAAAGAGCGGGGGATTGGGGGAATTAAGAATAATAATAATAAATAACAACAAATCGAAAACTAAAGCTACGCGGACGAAGCAAGAGTTTTAAACAATAACGTCCACGAAAAAAAAAATCATAGAATAATATCCCATTTAAAAATTACTTTTTTTCGACAATAACATTTTGATTTTCTTCTTAGTCGATACCATTCATCTTCAATGTAAATTCAACTCACGCTTTATTACTTTCTCATCTTTCTTGCAGCTGAAGAGCTTGGGCGATTTGAAGGGATTGCTGGAAGGTAAATTTTGAATAAATACGAGACTATAGCATTCTAAATTGATTCTAGCATGATACACTACCCATTGTAACCTTAAGTTTAGCACTCGATACGTCAAATGCACAAAGCAGCTCCGTGCTCTATGAGTGAGATACTCTGTAACCGCCACCACCTCGAAAACTATGTTATTTTATACGTAGCGGTTTTATATTCAAGCCTCTTCTTGCGAAAGAAGAGAATTTGAAAAAAAAAAAAAAAAAAAAAAAAAGACACGCCGGTGAGTGATTCCAATGCTGGACAGAAACATTAAAGGGTAAGCAAGGGTGTGAAAGATTGGCTTTTATATTTCATGGCGTGATACACCAAACTCTAAGCTTTTCGGGATTTGCTAAGATATTCACTGAGTTTAAAGAATCAGTTTGAGCGATGTTTGTTTCTATAAAATTACCGGCAACAAAACAAATCGATGTATGCCGAAAGAGTTCTTTTAAAAGTATTATCGCGTTTCTAAAATGTATTTTGCTTCGCCTGTTGTCACGAGGGTTACGGAGGTGTTTTTTTTTTTTCTTTTTTTTTAAGCCTTTAGCTGCTCTTTTATTCCTGGCCGTTCCCTTAAGCTTACCGCTCAATCGCCTCGTCCAAAATAAATTTATGTTGCTGTCCTTAAGGAGGGAGAGTACACATTTGATAAATTCATGTTATGCGTTGTCCATAGACAGTTTTGTCTATACAATGACGTCATGAAACATGGCATCACGATCCAATTTTTGAAAACTTAGGCTAGCCTCACATTTTAGTCCCACATTTTTGTTTATGATATTCATGGCCCTTTAGACTCAATTCGCTTATAAAAAGCACAGAAAGAGTTTCGCGTCAAACAATTCAAATAGCAGTTTGATTAGCGCCGGTTGAAATGTGGGGGAGAAATCATGATTAAAGTAGAACTGCAATGACCTATTTCGGACGGTTGAGGACACACAATCTATCACTGAAATACCCTTCTTTTGAACTAGATTTTTTTCTGCATCGTATTTCCTTAAAACTGCATTTTTCTTAGGCAATCCGAAGTGAAGTTTTTTTTCATGAATATCATGAATTAATCTGGGAAGGTATTGCATTATAGAATTCTATATCTACATGAGATTGTGCAAAATACTTGGATAAATTAAACTTGTCGAATTACTATACTAACACTGGTTAGTTTGGTGTTAGAAACTTTGCTGATGACTGCAGATTTGAATCCGAACTTATCTCTTGAAATATAAACTTCTAAAGGTTGATGATACTCTTATCGCGGGATAATAACGACTCAAAGTAAAGGGCTTATTAATAAATTGTCTTATTATGGAACGTGTGGAAATAAATTTCACTATAAAAAACGAATAATACTTAAATCACCTTGTGATTCAACTAAAGTGGATATCATGAGACAAAACAGCAACTGATGAACACAGTCAAACACGGAATACGTGACACAAAACTCAGCAAAAAAAGTCTCCTGATAATCTGAACTTAATTCTGAACTGTAACCAATGATTTCGTTTTTGACATCTGCCTTGGACTATGAAGAGCAGCGAGCACTATGTTTTCTCTTTATCATTATTTAGTTTTATTTCTTTATTTAATTTTTTTGCGACCAGCGGTATTCCTTAATTGCTGCTAAAAAAAAAAAAAATCTTCCGGTGCAAACACAGAACAAAAACTATAGAATGTTTAAAATCATCTAGAACCCAGCGTTTACTGTAGGACTGCCTACCCTACTTATGATTTCCTCTCCAGGTCCTTTTTAACCTCCCTGTAACATACTTAAAATTCCCAATCAAATCACAATATCGCTGTCTCAAAGAGCCATCTGCTTTTTTTGCACTAAGGGACATATTTTTGTACTGGTAGGAATATTTTTGCTCGAATAATTATGTTTGTGCGGTGATAATTATTTACTTTTTTTTATTTCACTCGTGCGCCACAGTAGAAAACACTTTTTATTACGATTTAATTTTTGACGTGTTTATGCTACTACTACTACTTGTTTTTGGCCGAAGACATTTCCATGGCTTTGATACCCAAATGGTAAGATCAGAAATTGTACTTGCCGTGGCACAGTTTTTCCAACATCTTGAGGCTGTTAGTTATAGGACCAATCACAGCGAAAAAATCAGACGATGCTTTAAAGATTCGACACAAACTGCAGCAACAATAAAGTTTAATGTAACTAGGAATTAAACACAATATTCTCAGCTTGCGACACAATTTTAAGTAGGGTGACACTACCGTGTTGAACCAATCTCACTTAACCAGAGACAGTTAAAACAATACATTTTGAATAGAATGATAAGTAAAGGAGTAATTGTGGTTTAATAACCTGTGGTTTCAGTTTAAACTATTTTCAGCAAATTACGCAAACAAAAGGCTCTACATGTAATAAAAACAAACAACAACAACAACCAGTAACCGATAGAATAAGAGTCTATTTCAGGTTTTCCACTCCTTTACCAGCGAAAAAAGTAGCATACACGTCAAGATGAATCGGTTCAGCATCAGACATGGTTTTACACTGTTTCATGCTCTATTAGCAAGACACTTTAACTGATAGAAAATTCTGAGTTCGATGATCGATCAAGGCCATGAGTCTTCGAATAGTTTTAGTTATTTCTAGTCTAAAACAAAAAAAGTTTTTGAGAGACCAAACTTTGCTGTTTCTGTCGCATAAAAGCCAAGTGGTAATTAATCGCAATTTATCAATTGCCAGCTATGCATTTTTTCTCAGAAATACTTTACAACTTTGTTTATTGAACTAAGGTCGCTGACATTTTAGAAAAAACGTCTTAAATATGCCTGTATGCTGAAGTCTAAGAAATTTAAGTACTTGTGGATATCTACATATCTCTTTAGTAGTGTAAATGTTTAGTAACTGTATATTTAGGGCTTTTTGACAACCGTTTCCCTTACTGTTTTGTCGGAATAAGATGTCTCCAGGGTGAAAGAAACGTCATTTACGGACTAAGTAGTCAATAATTGGTTTTATTGCACCAATATATATCCCATGGCTTTGATACTCCTCCCTCCATCTTGGAGTGCCTCGTTTCCGCAAGATTTTGCGCCTTTTGGATGACTTCCTGTACCAAATCCAATCAAAGAGTTGCATGATTCGCAGTGGTTCTGGTCATTGCTAACAATACCAATTCTGACTTTCGCATGATCACGATCACCAACAGCATTGAATCCTTCCTTGTTACAGTTGCGCTGTAAAGAGGCGTTGCTGCCAATCAACTTTTTCCACCCGTCACGACCCAGTGAGGTGTTGCGGTATTGGCCATCAGCAATTAGTGAGTGCAGAGAGTCAGCCAACTTACTGATGACAATAAACCTGAGCTGTTGGTTGATCTTCATTCCGAGACAGATCTTGGAGAATGATGTGTTCCAGTAGGTGGATAGTTTTGATTCTTGTTCGTCAAACCCAGTCTCTCCACCGAGAAGGTTGAATTCATCGTAATTTATCCAATAATGTGCGTCATAATGGAAGGTGGTCTGAAATAGAGGAACAAATCTTTTTTTTTATTATCTCCGAATTGATGGCTATTTGCTGTTTACGCCCTGTCGTGTATCTGCATTTATAGATTCCTTAGTCATGTGTTTTACCCCAGAATTGACCTTGGTATTTACAACGTTGTGTTATGAAGACTAAGGTCATTTCTTTGTACAACACGAACACGGCGCCGTAGATCAGTGCTTGACATTTTGATTACGAGTAGTTTTCCTGTGTTTCCATGTGTACGCCAATTAAGAGTCATAGAAATGTTAATCATTTGTGAAGTGAATGAGGGTTGATAGACGTCGTTATTCTTAAAATAAATTGGGATCTCTTTGTATATAGAAAAAAAATGGAGTATGGTTGTGTCGCGATAAAAGTAACCTGGTCCCCCGATAACACTCTGTAATATTCCTATGATCCACGATCCCTCCTCATTGGCAAGTTTATTGCATTAAATTTTCTATTGTCCTCCAAAAATCCTCCTGTACATATCCCCCTCCACCCCCACTGCTGCTGTTCAGGAGATAAACAATGAATGCTATTTAAATCAAGGTGGTATCTACATAACCCTCAATTAGTGTGGAACTTTAACTCAGATAAGATATGTTCTTTGTTCCAAATAGCATTTTAACCGATTTACGATATCAATGATTGTATTTCTTATCTAGCTGATACGTGATACTAGAGACAAATATGTTAGGATATATTTTATACCTTTTTTTAACTTTTCTTTTTCAACAGTCACTACACACAATAAGTCTTGAAAATTAAGTGGTACAAAGTCTGTTCTTTGTGCAATTCCAACTTGGAGAAAAACAAAAGGCATACATATGTAAAACGAACGTTTTTAACTTGCAACGTTTTGAAAGAGACCGAGTTTATACAGGAAATGAATTATTTTAAAACCGTATGTACCTTTCTGCCGTCAATCTTCATGACTGGCGTCCATCCTCCATCTCCACACCCAAAATTTCCCATGTGACAAAAAACGGACAACGGGTTGGAGTCAACAAAAAGGGTAACCACACCACTGATACTGGATCTTTTGAATGAAAATGAAAGAAAGAAACACAAGCATTAAAGTAAACAACAATGGTTAAATAAAACTAGAGTTTATGAAAATAATTATCATACATAAAATAAAGGCAATGAAAATCCCAGTGGCAAAGTTACTGCGTGATAATGATAATGATTCAACACATGAGCAAATGAAAAGTTAATCCTTCAGCAAAAGACGTCAATAACTGCGGAATTCAAACAACAGCCTTCATAGCAACAATGCTCGGCTATTTGTCCCGGAATTAAACAGGTGTCCAGGGCCAAGGAATATTTTTCACTCCTTCTATAAGGACGAGAATACTCTCCACCAAAGTGAATCGAATTTAAACCAAGGACTTTCTTTGCATACGGTGGTTTGAAAATTAGGGTATATTTGGTGACGCGATGGGCTTGAACTAATTGCGGGAAAGCGGAATGTTTGATGTACTACATAAATAATAACCGAATATCAAGTCTACTAACGTGTCCTTGTCATAAATTTCTTTACACGAAGTAGGTCCTAGAAAAAGTTTTAAAATACCTTTCATTAGAATTGTAAAATTATATTGTCTCTCCAATGTTGTAGTTTTATTATTATTATTATTTTTGTTATTATCATTATATTTCCACTTCTTGTCTAAACTGAAACATTTTCCTTTCTAAAGGACTTTCTGGGCAGCATGCATGTTAATTTTTAAATCCTTCAAAAGAAGAGACGTTGGTAAAGGGTCTTATCATCATTGATAATAATTATTTCCATCCGGTGTTTAAAGTTGCTAATTAACTAATGGCTCTCCAAGTAACTAATACATTTGCGTTTAAATAATGGTTAATCATTCTGCTCTTTTTTATGCCTAAATTGCATGGTATTAACCCACAAATTACTCTTCTCTCTTATCATTAGAGTTGTCTGATTTCATCTTTAATTGTGAATTCGCGCGCAGGTTGCTATGTGTTTTGCATCGCACGTTATAGTTACTGGAGTGCGTTGACATTTTCGTCAGAAAGTTCTTTCATAGGAGACCCTCTCAGCTCAATGTTTACAAAAGTTAACCCTTACACGTACCTTTGCATTCCCGGCCATTCCCAGTGAACCCCGGCTTGCATGCACAGTTATAAGATCCTTTGGTATTTTTGCAAAAGGCATAAGGACTGCAATGGTGATTCCCTTTGGCACACTCATCGATATCTGAAGACAACCAAAGAAACAGCAAGCGAAGAAAACAAACATATGAATTAGTGGGTCACGTGGAATTGCGAGTTATCATTTCCTTTTCTTTTTAATCTGGTTAATACTATATCAAATGTACTCGTATGTAGATTCAATCTACTTATATTTTAACCCACTTAGCCACAATTAGAATTATTTTTCAAATCTTAGACGCCAGTATCAGATTAAAGAAAACGGCATGTCAGTTTACTTTCCTTTGTGTGTCTCTCTTTCACTCTCTCTTTCGTTGCTTTTTTCGTTTTCGTTTTTTAGGAAAGACGAAGTAAATGGCACATGTCCATGCAGTTAGTGTGCGACTTGTATGCTTCCAAATATTCGAATTGAAGATCTCACTTGAACGATAGAGATAATATTTTTTGTTTACCGTTTTGGCACCTCGCACCTTCGTATCCGGCAGGACACAAACACTGATAAAGTTTGTCTGTAGAACTTCTTTGACAAGAGGCGTTATTTGCGCAATGATTTTCAGCGCACATATTCTTGGAAAAGAAAGAGATACAAACAAAACATGTTTTCAATATAAAACGATTTAGCTTAAGCAGCGTGCTATGCAGTGTGTCCAAAAGTCACACCTGTACTGTTTTTGCAAAAAGAAAAACTTCAAAGAGAAATAATAATAAGAAGAGAGAAACTTATAAAGGAGCTATTCGATTCAAAGATCGTTTTTCTGTGGAGGTAGGACACACCTAAGAACACGAGAGGATGAACAAATGAAATGAGTGAATAGATAACTAAGCGAATTAACGAGCGAAATAATAGTCGGGAAAACCATAACTCGTTCAGTCTTGAAGAAAGACAAACGTTAGAGGAAGAGAAGGATAACTGTTTTATTCTCAGGGGAAGTTAATGATCGTTTATCTGGGTTAATGTTGTCTAATTATGCCATGCAAGAGATCGTAGACTGTGTTTCCTTGGGGAGGCTGCTTTGAAATTTAAAAAACACAAAGGAGAGTCTTACCACGATGTGATAGTGATGTGAGCTTTCGTTTTGCTTGAATTCCCTGGAGTTGCTGTACTTATCAAATGACAATAACTCGCACCGCAATCTTATTTCGAGGGCCAAGTTCACAGAAATACAAGATGGATGTTGAACGCATCTCATGATACACTCCAAGTCGTCGTGCACCGAGAATATTCCAACTCGAGGCACATTCAAGTAACGGAACTCATCTACAGAAAACAGACCCTGTCTTCCGTCTGTTACTCGGTGGTCTGCAGTGTTCGTTTCTGATGGTCGAGTCAATAGAGCATTTTCAGCAAATAGCTAAATACACCTGTTATCATTTCTAAATAAGGTACTCTTTTGATACTTTAGCAAATTATTTTTTTCAGTTATATATTCTAACATAACTCTTTCCAAAAAAATGCCAGGATAACGCATTTTAAAGATGTCTGTAAATATCAGAACTTTTTCTTGAATGCGAGTTTTATCTTAGGGGCGTATACATTCATTTTATCATATTTGTTCAGTTTTTATTGCAAACGCTTCCCTAAAAAGCGCTCTCTCTTCGACGCTGCACAATTAGTATCATTTCTCTTTAAAAACTTGGAAAGTTAAACTACTACACTTAAACTCTAAGACCCCAAATCCAGCTCTAGTCTCAACTATGTATCTTGCAGAAAACAATTACTTCTTTGCGTTTTTCAGTCCATCGGAGGCAAGGCGCGAGGCAGCCCAAAGGGAGGATAACACGTGAAGGAAGAGACGTGAAAAAAAAGAAAGTTAATCAATAAAAGGTAATGAACTAATTAAGTAAATACGAATTATGTATTTTTCCTTACTGAATGCTATATAGGTCACAACCATACACTTGAGTGCCGGTCTCGTTAAAAGCGCTCCTCTAGACTTCCCGTCGAAAAAAAGTTTTTTTTCATTTTTTGCCCATGAAAGGGTTGGGGACATGTTTCAAAAATAGTTCTCCAATTCCCTTTTTTTGTGTCGCCACAAGCCAAAATTGAGTTTTTGTTAGAACACCCAGTTTTTAAGAAAGAATTCTCAAAATGCAGGCGTAAGTCGGGTCAAAACGGCAGAGTACACAGTACTTACACTAATAAGGTCACCGATTGCCGGCTTGATGTATAGACATATGACCTCTTTCGCGAGTATAAAAAGTGAATAATGCAACGAAGTAGAATCGAAAGTTAAAAATAAATTGGATATTTTTACATTTTATCTCTTAATATGTTTACCTGTTTGATGGAAAGCAAAGATTATAATGGCTGTGGGAGATTATTGCAAATATTGTAATGTATTACAAGCCATTACAGACTATTGAGATTGTTGCGTAGACTATAGGGATCGGCACGAGTCTCTTAGCCGAGACGAAACACTAAGTTTATATTCAAAACACAAGAAAATGGAAAGCCTATGGTTTGAGCAGTTCTCTTGGACAGCATATCATGTGATCAGTCATGTGCAATAAACAAACCTAACTCTCTTCAATAAAACTCTTTCTACTATTACAAGAGGATAACGATCGAACTAACACTTGTGTGAAAGTTTATCCTGGTGCTGTTGACCCAGCTTAAAATATGGTAGTCCAATTAAAAAAGGTGTTACTCAACCTTCACTATAATGATTGGAGGATATTCCATCCCTCTGTTGTGGTTTTCTCACTGCTAATTATAATTCTAATTAACATCACATTATGTCAGTTAAATAGACGACAAATTAACGTTTCCCTTCTTTGGCTCATACGTTTATGATGACCAATATCTGAAAAGCTCTCACGTCAGTTAAAAAAAAAAAAAAATTTGCTGTAAGTGGAAAAATTGTACCCTGAGATGCTTTCTTGAAACAGTCCTGGCCATAGACACTTTTGTCTTACCATGAAACATGGCGTCACGGTCCAATTTCTAAAAACTGAGGCTAGCCCCATATTTTAATCCCACATTTTTGCTTATGACATTTATGGCCCTTTAGACTCTTATGCATCTTATTTCCTTAACACTGCTTTTTTCTTAGTTGAATCCGAGTTGAATTTTTTTTTTAATGATATTATTATCAGGTAAACGTATTGCATAAAAGAATTCCATTTCTACATAACTTGTGTAAAACACCTGTCGAATTACCTACAAGAAACTTCTTGTAGGACACAAATAAATTCTTCCTAATTTCCAGCAACATTCTGTGAAACTTCAAGTACTACACAGGAGGCGAAAATATTATTTTAAAAAAAAACACACTTTTGTTGAGGTGGGTTGCATATCGCGCTAATTGTGTATGGAAATTTAATTCCTGAAATATTTCGTGCCAGAAAACGAAAGGGAAAGTGATCATATCGAAGGAAATGGAATCCACTTTCGAAACCTTGACTATTTGCGCTTGGTTAACTCACGTTGTAAAGTGCAGGACGGGTGTGCAGAAGGTCCAGGGTTCAAGCTCCAGACCTAGCCAACACTCAGGATCGCAAAATAATTGAGGAGAATGTGCTGCCTTTGCTTTAACAACGGTTAATTATGAGACACTACAATATTTTCGGGTAAGAACAATAAGCCGTAGGCCCTATCTCCTTTCTCTTCTCTGAAATGGTTAACAGGGACGTTAAAGAACCAGCGCACTTCTCGCAAAGAGTATTGAACGTAGCGCCCTTTGTTGAGGTCTGACCTTATCATTGTTTACACCCGCCTCTTTTAAACTAGCATTGAGATGAACTGAACTAGCCTGTCTAAATATCGCAAATACATACATACATACATACATACATACATACATACATACATACATACATACATACATACATACACGTACACATACACACATTCCGTTGTCATAAAACGTGTGGAAATAATTCTTAAAGTTAAATACGAATAACACTTAAATCACCTTGTGATCCAAATACAGTGGATATCATGACACAAAACAGCAATTGAGGAACACAGTTAAAAACGGAATACATGATACAAGACTCTCTGGAAAAGTTCCCTGATAATCTGAACCTAAAATACGGTTCTTTAACCAATCCTTTCGTTTTAAATAGTCTTGACATCTGCCTTAGACCACGAGGAGCCGCGAGCACTACGTTTTCTCTTTTTCATTATTTATTAATGTTTTTCTACTTATTTTTTTCTGCGAAGAGCAGTATTCCTTAGTTGTTACTAAATAAAGGAGTGATAAATAAAATTTCCTAATTGATACGCACACTGATATTAAGACCGTTTGTGCTGAACTAAGATAAAATCGACTTGAAAGAATTGTTTTAACAAAGTAGCCAAAGGAAAAATTATTTAGCAATAGGTCACGCAACTTTCCTACAATTTTATATTCATAACGAAATCGAGCAGACGTAAAAGTAAAGCGTGTCATAATGTAATTGACTCAACTGGTTGAAAATGCGTGCCTTAAAGAAATGGATAGATGTGAACCTAGTTTGTGAAAATAAAGAACTCATTTGATAGTTTCCTAAGTTATCGCTTTTACACACGCACAACAGGTGGCATTGTGAAACTTTGCTAAATTATCATACAACCATTGTTTATCTTGATGGTGCTAAGAACTTCATTTGTGTCATGATATTCGTGGCCGATAATTTTTGGTTATCATGCAACCTTGTCACAAGCTAAGTTAGCCAATTCACCTCCGCTACACCTGTCATATCCATATTTCTGTCCATATTCCCGTCTTCTCCTTTTTTTCGCTGAAATACGTGTACAATAGCTGGCATGATTATGATGCTTCGTTAAATTACCATAGCGATGTTCATTAAATATATGACTTCCATATATTCACAACCGTTTATTCACCACTTGACGGGTTTATTTCGAACCAACACAGTAATTAGCTCCCAGTTGGCTTGTTAGCTCCGTTGGTAGAGCACTGCACAGGTATCGCAGAGGTCATGGGTTCAAATCCCGTACAGGCCTGAATTTTTTTTTTTTCAGGCGTTCTTTTCACTACTACTTGAGTAGTGTTCATTACTGCGAAGATCGCTTTCATATTCACGACGTTTATTTTGGTTCGCTGGTAAGAACTTCCTGTGAATCTTGTCCCTTCTTTATGATTCCCTGCTCCCGTTTGGGAATAGAGGCTTCATATTGGAGGCAAGGAATCATCAGAAATTCATCATTACAAGTTCAAATTAGCTTTTATATCTACACAAGTTTCAAATTTTTGACTTGATATACACTAATACACGCTACGACTTCCTTCCTTCTTTTATTGCAGACATAATCGAAAAATGGAATTATGTTGTTGTTAAAATTGCTGACTTTATTATTATTGTCATTATTATTGTTATCATCATTATGATAATTTTTAACCTCAAGAGGAAAAAGTCCTCCTTCGTAAACCCTTACTAGTTTATTTTTATCCATTTAATTATCAAAACAAGCACCTCTTTCGCACTCTACATGGAAACGTTTAACTTATCGAGAAGCTCTAACGAACAAATTTGATGAAGTTAATTAGTGCGTTCAATTCCGATTTTGTAACGAGGAAGATAAAAGATAAATAAAAAGGTGGTTTTTAAATATCATAGAGTGTCGTAGGAAATCAAAAGGTGTTATCTTTTAAGGGAAGTTATTTCAGCATTGTGGTGGCGCTAACGTAAAAAAATGACCGTAAAAAAAAAGGATTGAAGGAACATTTTTCTGCAATTGAAATCTTTGAGGAGAATCAGTTCATTTTTGTTTTTTTTTGCATATGCAGAGGTCTATTAGCATACCTTCAATGACTTCACATTACTTCGTGTTTTCCCTCGAAAATGTTGTAAAAACAATATGCTCATGTTTCTCAATTTGTTTTGATCACTTTTATTATGAAAGAGGTTAACTATATTGTTTTCGAGTTAAAGGCAGATAGAGCAAGAAACATATCTCTTTGAAGCTGAATTGTTGCTATGTTGGCCTTAATTGTTAGAGAAACAAAGACAGTTTGATTATAATTCATTGGGCATTTTTTAACATCGATTTCAAGGAAACAAAACAGAAAAGTGTAGAAGCGATAATCCACCGAAAAGAATAGGATTTTCCAAATAAAGAAACCATGTGAACCTTAACAAACATTCAATCCAGACTCATTTGATCCAGCCTCTCGCAACCATCGATCCACAATAAAAGAACGATTTTTTTTTTTACGTTTAGGGGAGATGAGAGGTAGATAATACCTTGAAATTATGTTGCAAATCCTAGTTGCCATTTTGAACTAAGTTACCAACTATATTATTACCTGTTATGAACAAAATCAAGAAATATATCAACATTTTGCTAAATAATTTCATTTGATGAAGAAATGAGTATTTTTAGCTTTTCAGAGAAGTCTCTTTACTTGCAACGAGCAATCTGAAACTTGCTAAAATATCATATTTTTGTTTCACGGGGTTTTTTTTTATCATTCATTTATTCATGGAACAGTCAGTGTTTTCCATTGTTAATGCAATGATATCAAACAAGAATTAGTAGCACAACTAGGTAAGTGAATGAGCCCTCACATGGATTTCGGGCGTAATGTAGAAAGCAGGGAATTGAGGGAATTAAAAAGTAATAATAATAAATAACAACAAAACGGAAACTGAAGCTACAAGGACGAAGCAGGAGTTTGAAACAGTAACGTTCACGAAAAAAACATCGAATAGTATCCCATTTAAAAAATTACTTTTTTGGACAATAACAGTTTGATTTTCCTCTCAGTCGATGCAATTCATCTTCAATGTGAATTCAACTCACGCTCTATTTCTTTCTCATCTTTCTTGCAGCTGGCGAGCTTGAGCGATTTGAAGGGATTGCTGGAAGGCAAATATTGAATAAATACGAGACTGTACCATTCTAAATTGATTCTAACGTAATGCTCTACCTACTGTAATCTTATTTGAGTCCATGTTTTACTGAGCCACAAACTATTTATCGTTTTTGAGTGTCGGGCTATGTTAGTAAAAAGCAATGGCTATGGCATTTAAATTGTAAATAATACCACAATGGTTGGGACGTCTGGAAAGTCTCGATACCAATAAGGGTCGGAGAAAAATAAAACTTGTGGAGCGGTAGTTTAGCCTAGAGCGCGAGACTCCTCGAGTTTTGGGACAAATCAAAGCGAAACAGTATGACGATTCTTTATTGATTAGACACAGACTGCAGCAACATTAAAGTTCAATGAAACAAGGAATTAACTACAATATTCTGTAATTACAACACATTTTAATAAGCCGACACTACTACGCTGAAATAAGTTCCCTCAAGCCGAGAGAGTTAAAGAATACGTATCGTATAGAAAAATTAGCAAAACAGAAATTATAAAAAGTCCTTTCACAAAAATAAATAAATTAATATATAAAAATAAAAAATAAACTATGTGGTTAGGACTTGTAAAAATTTCAGTTTTATTTATCTTTTAAACAAATTTCACAAGCAAATGGTGTTTCCTGACCTTTATTTGTTTCTCTGCATAGTTTAGCACTCAATGACGTCAGCTGCAAAAAGCGGCTCCATGTTCTATGAGTGAGATACTCTGTAACTGCCACCACTGTCCGAGGATGAACTAATCAGATGAGGATGAATCAAAACCCTCGAAAACTATGTTATTTCATGCATAGCAGTATTACATTCAAGCCTCTTCGTGTGACAGAAGAAACATTGTAAACAACTATTGACAAAAAAAAAATAAGATCCGGCCAGTGACTCATTCTAATGTTGGACAGAAACACTAAAGGGCAAGCAAGTGTGTGGAAGATTGGCTTTACATTTCGTGGCGTGATACTCTAAAATTTTCGGCGTCTGCTGAGATATTCATTGGGTTTAAACAGTCAGTTTGAGCGATGTTTGTTTTTATACAATTACCGGCAACATAATAAATCGATGTATGCCGAAATATTTTTTTAAAATGTATTATCGAGGGTTAAGAATTTATTTTACTTCACTTGTTCTCATGAGGTTACAGAGGTGCTCTTTTATTCTTTTAGCTGTTTTTTGTCCTTGGCAGCCTGCCTCCAACCTACTACTCACTCGCCTCGCCCAAAACAATTGTATGTTGCCATCTTTGACAAGTGTGAGTACACATTTGATAAATTTATGTTATGCGTCCTCTGATGTTAATTTTACTAAACAGCGTTAATGCAGTAGATGTCCCCACAGTGATATCTTTCGACTTGTTCACATGCATCCACACCAGTGGGTGTGAGATGTCGGAGCTCATGTTTTATTTGAGAAGTTTTTGTCATTGTACTAAGATGTCTCCTATGGCCATAGCGAATTTGTCTCCATTATCTAGCTCCCACATTGCCACGTTGCCACACGCGTTCGAGTGATCAAGGTATCCCTCAGCGCCAAATCCGATCCTTGAGTCACAGGAAGTGCACTCGTTCTCGTTGTTTCTGACAATACCAATTCTGGCTGTGGAACTCCCGGGATAACAAACCACATTGAAACCCTCGTTGTTAAACTTGAGCTGTAAAGAGGCCTGTGGACCAATCAGTATCTTCCAAGTGTCACGGCCCAATAAACACTGAAAAAATCCGTAATGCTTACAGACTGTGACGTTCAAACTTTCCTAGAAGGGAAAGAAAACCAAAATGCGGAAAGAAAAACTCGAAAGTTACATATTCTGTGCTTTTGATAATGGCATTTTTCCCGGCTGAGAACGAAAATCGACCACTAGAAGATTTGCGGCACTCCGATTTTAGCCATGTACCTGGAAGATTTCTTCTGTCGGTAAGGACCAAGTCAAAGATTGAGAATTTTGTGCATTGAAAATTACGCCCACTGCTTGTTTTTGTAGTGTTTCAACCCATTTTTCCATCTTGAGCCTTAACGCCAGCGCACTTTACGGTTTGAGGGATTGTCGATCCTTTTATTTTCTTTCATTAATAAAGTTGACTTTTTTTGTCGGTAAAGGGCTATTGTGTTTATATGATGAACAAAATAATACATGCTTGGTTGTGGATATGAAATTTCTCTTCTCGTGTTCAACTTAAATCACGGCACTTTCCCCTCAGCATTTTCACAAGGAATTCAGAAGTGAAGTTTTAT